TGTGAAGTAGTTGGTACCCACGACTGCTAAGCATTTCCGTTGTTTGCAGGTGATGGAAGCTTGGATTCACGCTGGTACCTACACCAACCTGATCGCTCTCGATTTAGACACGTGCGATTCGTTGAGTGAAAAGGCTTTGTCAGATTTCATTTACCGTCAAGGACCAAAGCTTCGCGGACTTAATTTATGTGGAAACGAAAAGTTGTTGGAACACTTTTGGCTTACGACAATACCCATAACGAAAAAAATCGAGTAAGCTATTTCAGATGGATTTTGTAAATTGAGATGTATTGAATATTCCGCATGATTTATTTACACGGAAAAATGCATCATTTTTGGGACTCACAAATAAGAAAAACAGCGCTAGTCGATTTATTTACACACGCAATATTTGCACAATTGACTTTTTCGATCCTTTTGTCTTCAGTCCATCCTCAACGTGCAGCTGAGCGTTTGATTTTCCGAATATAATGTAAACAAATGGTTATTATTCAATCAATTTAGCTTCCTACCATCTGTACATCATCAGCATTTCAGCAGTCATAATCTACCATGTCATAAAGAGGTAGATGCAATACCAGAATGAAAGGGACAACAGATGACGAAGCCAGATTGCCACTGGTTATGCTCTGCATCGGTCTGTGGCATTCTAAAAGGTATAAATTAGGAAGCATAATTGGTTTTGCTGAATTCTGTACCGTAATCTCCAATATTAACGAGTCTCCAGGTTGATAAAAACACAAGTCAGTCATTCCTAAAGAACGGGGAAAACATACAGTGAGACCGGAGTTGCAAGAGAAAGACATAGAATGAAGAAAGCAATGCGACCAGCTGTCTCGCCATTATGTTTATGTGTAACAACTACCTCAAATGATATGTCTAATTTCATATTAATCCCATTATTAATTTACTTTCTATTCTCTTTGTTTCTGCTGAAGAATCAGTCTGCTTGACTAACTCATCGTATGGCATTTTAGTCTCAGTTGCTGCTTGGCATCCAATCGTTACAGTATGGGGCATTTACCCCCGGTCATTTATGCCATCCTCTCACTCCCAACAATCCCTAATGGTATCAGCTGGATATTACAATGCCACGAGTGCAATTCCTACGGCTGATCCAGGTCTTGAGTGACCCAGCTTGAGAAGGACGTGCCTTTACTCAGTCTGTTACTTTATTCTTCCAATACCATTTCGATCTTCCGCTTATTTTAGTCAATAGGGTTTGCAGCTGCGGTTCATAGGCTAAACGGGTGATGAAAAGATTTCACCAAACCATGACCCTTATGTTACCGCTAGATTTATTGTCAAACTTAGTCCTTTTCCTGAACGGATTTGCCTGTCACTACCGCTCTCCGGTCTTTAAACATTTGAGAGATTTCCATCGATCGATTCTGTTCCAGGGTACAACATGATCATGTATCCATATTCGTACTCGATTGTTTGTCCATTCAAGCGCATCCACTCTTTATTCCCAGGACCAATGGTGTAAGGATTAGGAAGATGGAATGTGGAATGATAACGATAATAACTAATGATAATAATAGAATGATAACTAACGATGGTGGTGGACATGCTGTTCGATCGTTGGGGTTGGGGAGGGGGACAACAGGGCGACGTCAGTGAAGCCTACTAAGCTGATCTTGACGACAATCAAC